ACAAAATCGCTGCGAAGTGGAACAAAAGAAATGAGTGCTGCATCTTTATATATATATTATCTAAAAGATTTTCTTTGAGGTGACAATGCCAGGATGTTGGGTCGAGACCTTACAGCCTGTGCCTGTTAAGAGTATGAAGTGATGTGTTTTGGGCAGCTGCTCTTCCGATTGCAAACCGTTCGCTGTTGATATTGTTGAAGACTCAGAGTCCTTGGGCCTTTTTTTGACAAGAGTTGAACCATGTTTGAACCTGCTGAATGCTGAGGAAGACAGACAAAAACTGAAGAGAAATGAAAATGGAACACACTGAAAAACCTATGAGCAGAAAGGGAGAAAGGAAGGAAATAAGGAAGGTCTAAAGTCGAAAGACAAACGACACTGACAAGAAGAAACATGAATAAATTGCTTATACAGAATAAAGAAGAAGCTACTAGGGGCTCCTGGCCGTACTACTAGGGGCTCCTGGCATCGCTAGGAGCAAGCACAACATCGTTTCCATTCATTTGACACCCCTGAGGGGCCGCCTCGCATTGTCTTGCTACGTGCAAGGCCTTGCAGGGCACGTTCTACAGCACGTGCACAGCAACAGATGTCCGTTTGATCAGCAGTTGTGTTGTGCTGCGGCGAACTCCCAGCATCACATTGTTTGGCTATGTGATAAGTCTTGCCTGGCAGGCCATGCACACGCCAAGCAAACTTGTGGCACAAAGCCGCAACTTGAAGGCAAATGAATGCAGTATTCAGTATTGTTTCATCGGTTTTTGTGCCAAACCGTTTGGTGCTTGAGGCTGAGGTTGCTCAGCGCGTCGTTCGACGTAGTTACGGGAAACCACAAAGGGTGAGGCAGAGGGTTGCGAAATTGCCGTGAATCAGAGGACAAAGGGAAATTCCAGTGAGATGGAAAATCAACGAATCCTCAGTGGGTCACTGGTGAATAATATATACATATATACACATTGCAAAGAACATTCCCTTAAAACCGCACCAAGCTAAACAGAAACACCAAGCCATTCCAGGGTCCTAGTGATCAACAAGCTCAGAGAGTGAGTCCCGGGATCGGTAAAGAGCTTTCAAACCGAGGGATTTTTCTTGCACAGCGATTTCTTAAGGAGATTTTGTGTAATTCATCAAGCTGCAGCTGCTGTTCAACAGCTAAGAAAAGCTGAAGGGCAAATTCACCAAACATGAGGATGGGCTATTGCTTTCACGATGCGTGCCATCATGCTAACAGGACTAGGCTGCGACACTCCCTGCATGCTCAGTTCTTTTTCTCAACTGTGACTCAGAGAGCTTGGGCAAACTTTTCGCCTTATTGGTGGGCACCCGCCTGCATCCCTGCTGCGCAGTTTCGCAGATAGGTTTTGGTGAAATACAGGTGTGGCTCTACGTGGGTGATGTTTGCAAACGTTCTCAGATTTCTGTGTGCAGCTTACCACTAGGAGCAAGGACGCCACGAACGGGGCTCCTGGCCGTACATGTTCAGTGGAAGGTGCTCCGCTTGATTGGGTATGCCGGGTGATGCTTCCCCTTGCCCCTTGCACTTGAACTGAGCAGGCCATCTAGAGAGTGTGCGCCAGGTGGCCGCATGAGACTCATGGAGACGCATGGAGACGCATGGAGACGCTAGAGTTGCCTAGGAGGGTGGGTTAAAGGATAAACGCTTTGGCCTTTGTGTGTGTGGGGGGCATTCAGCACACCTAGAGGGGATTAGCGTGAAGCTCTCAACAACTGACTTGTTGGATCCTGGCTCTCTTGTTTGCAACCGGGTTTGGGGGATTGCAGGTGGCTGAGGAATTGCTCGACACACGAATTAAGTCATAACAGGACACCGAACTTGGTAATCGAAGGCTGCTGGCAAGAAAATCGGAAACTCAAGCAATCTCAAGCAGTTACAACCTGATGCAAAAAGCTGCTACCTTCAGAGAATTTGGGAGTCGCTATGGGCAATAGGGGCAGGTTTGGTGAGACAAGGTTGTAGCTGCATAAATTGAGAGCAGCAGGCAAGAGAGGGTGGGTGCTGGACAACAAGTAGTAACGTTCTTGCTTCGTGCCAGCCGTTCTGACTCTTTCTCCCACCTCGACAGCCAAGGCTCTCAGTGAGCTGCGAGGAGGCCGTTTGAGTTGTGTAGGCCTGGGTGGGATTTGGGGTTTGGTGTGCTGGAAGAAAAAAAATAAAAGCAAGGCTAACCTACTAGCAATTCCTACTAGCAATTAATAGCGATGGCCTCCAACCTACTAGCGATGGCCCCAACCTAGTAGCGATGGCCTCCAACCTACTAGCTCTGACATCCAACCTACTAGCTATGACCTCCAACCTACTAACGATGGCCTCAAAATCTAGAAGCGATGGCCTCCAAGATACTAGCGAGGGCCTCCAACCTAGAAACGATGGCCTCCAACCTAGAAGCGATGGCCTCCAAGCTACTAGCGATGGCCTCCAACCTAGAAACGATGGCCTCCAAG